CTGTTCTCAGCCAGGAGTTGCTCATTCATCTGCCTCAGAGTGTGAATCTGTTTGAGCTGGTGGAGATTCTGCAGAGAGGGACAGGAGTGGACAGAAAAATACAGAGAAAACACACCACGAAGACAAAAGGGCACAGAAAGGTGAATTTAGTCCACAAGAAGTAAAAAAGAGAGTGAAAGCAAAAAATGAGTGGCAGTGAGTGTTGGATAGGCAGCAGCTCTGATGGAGATGGAGGAAGCCTTACAACACAGAGGATGTTTTGGGAACCATCCCTTTCTCCAGGAGCCCCCAAAGCTCAGATAGAGGGATTTCCCACCACTAAGCAGGTTATATTCCAGGCAGGGAGCTCCAGCAGAACTGGCACCAGGGACTCACCACCCAGCCAGGCTTTGCAAGCACTACTGGCAACTGAGAGTTCCTTGGAATCTCCTTTTCTTCATCTGCCTCTAAAAGCTAAAGTGGTCTTGTGTAGCAAAGAGTGATAAGAGCTTCACAGGAGATTTTAAAGGCACAGACTGAAGCCCCTGAAAGTGCCACTGTTCCAGAGCAGACCCCCAAGGCATGTACCACATCTGCTCATGTTCCTTGTCCCTGCAGCACCTCAATGAGAGCCCTTGTGTCTACTCAGGATTCAGTCCTGCCAAAAGGTCTGGGAGTTGTGTCGGTTTTTCCTCCCTGCCCAGATTCAACCCTCCTCTGTCACAGGTCTCAATTTATCTCCAATCTCCAGAGGTGAAAATTCAAGAGCCTTAAACCTCCCATTTTAACCGAGATGTGCACATGACAGCAGCTTACACAGGGGGGACAGGTGACAACACGGTGTTCTTGGTTACAAAAGCAACAAGTGGGCAAAGGACAGTGCAGAAATGGAGGCCCAGAGCTGGGGCTAGCACAGGGCCAGCAGCAATGGGGAGACACAGAACGTAACCAGGAAGGCAAAGAGGAGAATGAGAACAGCCAGGCAGACGTCACAGTTTCTGGTACAAGGGTGACATTTATCTGGGTGACACTAAAGAGAACGGGTGGGTGCCAGGACACACTGAGGGCTGCAGAGCTGCTTTCTGAGCAGTGTCCCATCCCTCCTCCCTCCCACCAGCTCCTGGGGCAGCTCAGCACACGAAGGAGAAGCCCTCCAGCCCAGAGGAGCGAGCACAGACACAGGGCAGGGAGGGAAACATCTGCGAGAAGAGGGGTTTCAAGTTCAGGGGAAAAAAATCCCAGCCCTGAACCAAAGCAGCTTCTGTCCTGCCTGCAAACCAGTGTGCTCTTCTTCATCCCCCTACTCGTGGGCTGTGACAGCAAGGAGGAGACAGAGAGAAGGGTCTGCTGGGAAGGAGGGTCCTTTCTGTCATTTCATCAGCAGAAAGTGCTCAGAGGGAGGTCACTGCCTGTCCTGAATCAGAGGCTGCATGGGCAGATCTGCTGTGGTGGGAACAACCTGCATGAACTTCCACCCAACTCGCATGATGTGGAGCTGACTGCAGTTGGCAAGGAACCTGCTGCAACCCAGGACATTTTGTCCAAGGGTTCATTCCTGTATAAAACAGGAGTATTTTGTGCAGCCCCCATCCATCAGCTTGATCCTAGCTACCCAAAAGCACCACCTCTGCTCCCTGATAAGGAATCAAGATACCTTGTCCAAAAGCCCTGCAAAACCAACAGAAGAAACAAGACATGTGAGTGCAGGGAGCCAGCAAAGGATGGGTCTGAGCCCCCGAGGGCAACTGACACAGCAGCTGCTGCTACTGCACTGGTGCAATCCTGACTCCAACAGCTCCAGAGACAGAGTTACATCCACCAAACTGCAGGAGTGTCAGGGACACCTTGGCAGCCAGGTCCCCTCTCTTGAGCTGTGCCAGGTGCCCCTGCACTCAGTGGGGACACAGATGGACATCACAGGTCTGCACTGTGATAAATCCCACCCAGGAGCCGTCAGAGGATGGTTCACACTGGAAGAGCCATTTCTGGCATCATGGATAACAAACACTCTCTGTGTAATCACAGGGAACCCAGCTAAGCTCTGGCTGGCAGAAAACATCCATCATGTGTAAAACGTTGTGCCATGTTAGGCAGGATGGAAAGGATTGTGAGCATTTTGGAGACCACCATTATTTTTCCACACCAACACAGCATGAAACCAGACCCTGCTCAGCCTCAGCACGCTGCCAGAGAACACCAAAGCATCACTTCTGGAAAAAGGTGTGTGTGCTGCAGGTAGGATGGCTGCCTTTGTCCAAGAAACCCAGCAAAGCCTGGGAAGCTGGGACTGAAGCCAAGGGTGAAGAGCAGGATCTGGCCGATGCTGCTGCGATGGCTTTAGCGCTCTGCTGGACACCTGGCTGAGCAGGAGCAAGGCTCTCAGTTCAGCTGGACCTGCCTCCAATTAAAGGATTCAGTGCCTGCAACACTGGGGGAAATAGAAATGCCCAAAGCATGCCCAGTGCAGAGCCAGGAGGTGCAGTGCTGCTACTGAATAAGAAGCTCCTGTGACCTTCAAGAAACATTGCCCTGTTGAGCTGGGACCTCAGGCACTTGGCATCCAGTTCCATTCAGTGCAAAAGCTCATTTTCTTTCTCCTTCCTTAGCCAAGTTGCTGTATCTCCAGTCAAATTCTGCACTTGGGCAAATGCTCTGTCACCTTCACAAGAGCAGGTCTGCAGGAGCAGCTCTGGCACCAAGGAGTTCTTCAGATTCCTGAGTTCGTCCCACTTCTCTCCATTTCTTGATTGCTTTGTTAAACTCAGAAAGGGGCAAAGCTTGTTACCTCAAGTGTAGCCTGAAGTTCAAAGCATTTGTCACAGAAACCCAGGATGGTTGTGTCACCACTGCGGTGTCTTCTCTTCCCAAGAAGTCAGCTGCTCCAAGGGGAAAGCCCAGCCAGGACATCTGATGCTCAGAACTGGACACAGACACCTCCGGATCAAAAATCTGGATGTGAGCCATGCTGGGCTGCATCAGTTCAAAGGCCAGTGGGAAGAATCCCAAACCCACAGGATTCCCTGAGATCTAAGAACCTGGAATGTCTGGTTGTTTCCCCTGGCTGCTCTCCATGGTAAAGGAAGCTGGTGGCTTCTGCTCGACTGCTATCAGGTAGCATGAGAAGCAGGAAGGAAGGGCTCACCAAAATTAATACATTTGTTTCCCTGGCTTGACTCCCACACCAGGGATTCACTCAGATGCTCTGTGAAGGTTTTCTCACTCTGGGCAAACACAACTGGGCTGACTCTCCCGCTTTAAGGCACAATGGAAGTGGACATAGAAAGTCCTTGTTGAGTTCAACGTTTTTATCTTCAGAGATTTTAGACTCCTTTGAGTGGCTGTCAAAAAAAATGTCACAGTGAACTCAGGTACTTACCACATGCTCAGTGGAAATGCAGTAGGACCTTAGAAGAGATATTTCAGATTTAATCTTTTTATTCTACTAACTAAAGGCCACTTTGGTTGCTCAGGGGCAGCAGGAACCCAGCAAACAGCAAAGAGTAAGTACCACTCTTGAGGACCTGATGGCTCATTTTCAGTTAGACCACAGGATCCTGTGGCCCATGGCTCCAGCATGTCTCTTGGGGCAACAGAAGAACATCTCAAGCTTCTAGCAGTGCTTCTTGTTCTGCACCATCTTGGCTTCCATCAGTCTGCACCAGATCACCCGAACCAGAGGCGCTTTGGTTGCATTTAACAGTTCCCATAAGCACCTTATTTCATTAATTGCTTTCTGAACCAATATAAATGTTTCAAAACTGACAGGCCACTAGAGGACACCAATTTGTCTTTTTACTCCATGGACTGAGCTGGTTTGCAGGGATCTGCACAGCTGAAGAAGCAACACCCACTGCTGCTGTCTGCGTTTCCTCTTGCAGGATACACTTCTGTAATTACAGAAGGTCTGTCTGCAGTGAAAGGGTGTTACCTGTTCTGTGAAAAAAGCATCTGGAATTTAGGCAGATTCAGTCCTTTCTCCTTTCCCTTCTGGCTGGCACATCCACATCATTTTCTCCTCTGTGAGAGAACAAGAGCCTTTACAGTCAGACTCCACCAAATCGTTCTCCTTTTGCAGTAGAAGATGCAGCACAAGCCAAAGGGTCCTTTCAAATGTACATCTATACATCTTGGTAAATATATGAAGCTTCAGATAGAAAAATAAAGCTGAGACCTCCTGCAGGGTGTCAGGACATTGTTTCCATCAGTGCAGCAGGCTGGCTGTCAGGTTGGGTCCTTCCTTCCTAGAGGTCCCACCCAGGTCATGCTCAAAGGGAACGCAAGCGCAGGGCAGAGAGCAAAGGGACATTCTGTGAACATGGGCAGCAAAACACAGCGTAAAATGATGTAGCAAAGTCAGTGTCAAGTTTTGCTCCTATGGCCAGAGCAGAACCATCCTTGGAAGCAAGGCCAGGAGAGAGAGGAGGAGGCACAGGAGTGGCCGCAGTGGGATGGCCCGTGACTGGAAGCCATGCTGCAATTCCACCGGGAAGCAAACTCCTCTTTGCTGAGCTCTATCCCAGGCTGGCTGACTGGCACAGCCTCCAGTGACATGCTTTAGGGCACAGACACAATCACTCTGTGTTTTTTTCCTGGCCAGTGTGTGCGTGATCTCAAAAGCCAGCTTTGTCTTCTTACCCATCTGGAGAGAACCACGACGGCTTAACTCGGGCTGCAGGCTATTCAGAGCACAGAGGGTCAGCACACTGAAACTCACCGATGCCACAGAAGGTTAGTTTGGAGAAGCATTTAAGGAGAACAGCTTTCACAATTCTCGACTCAAAAAGCATAACAAATGGAACATATGGTGCAACCAGATGAGCAGTAATAGGACAGTTTTATTAGTATTTAATATTCAGAGAAGATGGACGTTAATGTTCCGACTGCATAAAGGAACACGCTCAGAGAAAACACAAGTCCCTTCCATGTACACCTTTAATGTCCTACTCCTGGGTGACAATCCCAAAAGGCATATACAAAGCATAAAAAACTGGAGCAGATAGAGCAAACAGATTCCTTCCTACCTTCATCTCCTCTTCCATTTCAGAGAGTTTCCGCTCCAGCGCTCGCTTCTCCTGTTTACAGGGAATGACAACAAAGATGGTCACAAGGATTGAAAAGAAAAAATTGCAGCACGTTTTTTTTTTAAAAAAAAGAAAACCAAGAGTCTTGTATTTCTGTTGGAGCTTCACTGCAAAGCATCTCAAAGGTTACAACCAGGAGCTGATCAGGGGGAAGAGGGCAGCTGGAAAACCAGGCAGCAATATGTGCTGGGCCTGTCCTGGCAGATCCTGAGTTCTCTTCACAAACCTCCAATGAAACCTCCCATCTCTGGCAATCCCAGTTTTGGGGACTTCCTGTAGGTGAAGCCACAGATTTCACTGCACCCTGCTGAAGGAGGCAGCGAGAAAACTCACTGAGTCCATTCAAACAGAAACAGAGAACAGGGAAAAGTGCCTGGGAATTCTGCTCCTCCCAGATCAGTTTAGGGCTTCAGAGCTGCCCAGGTACCTGCCTCCTGTGTGTGTTGGAACAGGACATAGGTAGGCTGTGCCCTGGAGTGCTGGTGGTGCCCCAGGGGACAGCAACGTTCAGGAAGGAGGCAGGAGAGCTCAAACATTCAGATTTCACCTGGAATCACAAGGCACCCAGCTGGTGTTTTGCCTGGGTCCAATCCCTCCCCAATACAGTCTTTAAAAGGATCAAGAATATTTTCCAGCCCAGTGGACCAACGGTCCCTTAGCACCATATGATACAATTTGTTGGTCTGCAGCTTCCTACAAAGAAAGAAAGAAACCAGAACGAAGCTGATGTGCAGAGAGAGCAGAAACGTCTCTGCCACTGAGAAGGTCAGAACACAATTATCCACTGACAACTGCTCCACCAGGCAAAAATACAAGTTATCTTTTAATTAACACTTTCCTTCAAGAAATTACTCTGCCCTGCAGAGCAATAGAGCGAGGCAAAGATTGGGACTCAGAAGAAGGCAGAGACACGTACCCTTTTCTCCATCTCCAGCATGCTGGACCGGTCAGAAGTCTTCTCCTGTTTCTGCTGTGTAAATTAAAAATGGAAAGGTATGAAAACTGAGAGGCAATCAGAGGGTGCTGCACAGAGGCCTAGGCAGCCCACAGATGCACTGGCCTGGAGAAGAGGCAGCCTTTACAGTCACTCAAACTTATTCCTGTGAAAATGTCTCCTCTGTAGCACCTTCCCCCCCCAAGAGCTAAACTAGATCATGACACACCAGTGTGTGTCATGGGCTGGTGCTTGGCTCCTCCAGTCTAGGAGCTGGTTTTTGCCTCACCTGGGTTGCTTTTTCCAACTTGGATTTGATGTCGGCCAACTCCAGCTGGGCTTCTTGCAGTTTGGACTTCAGCTTTTGATTTTCAGACAGGGCACTTTCATACAGCTGCAACAGGAGACAAAAGGTGTCCATGAACCTGGCTGCTCTTCAGCCACTGCACGGACCCAGATCTGCAGCACCACAGGGAGAAGAGCAGTGTCCTCAGCACCCTGCCCAGAGAGGTGGTGAAGGAGACTTCTCTGGAGACATTTCAAACCTGCCTGGATGTGTTCCTGTGGGACCTACTGTAGGTGACCCTGCTCTAGCAGGGGGGGCTGGACTAGATGATCTTCAGAGGGCCCCTCCAACCCCCACCACTCTGTGACTGTGAGTGAGCAGAGGGGGCTGTGGTGTTTGTGTGGCTCCCCCATGTCAGGGTATTAGAAGAAGGGCCAACAGAACAAGTTGGAGGCTTTACTTGCGTTTTCATAATTCTTATGAAATAAGTAAACAGCTGTTTAATTTTGTGGTGTTTCTAAACACAGCCAAGAGGCAAAGAAAAGAGATGTTTTAAATGTAGGTAAAACTGCCAAGTTTGAAGTTGTGTGTGCTGGATCACAGAATCATGGAATGGTTTGGACTAGAAGGGACCTTAAAGATCATCTGGATCCAACCCCCTGCATGGGCAGGGACCCCTCCCACCAGCCCAGGCTGCTCCAAGCCCCATCCAACCCGCCCTTCAACACTGCCAGGGATGAGGCAGCCACAGCTTCCCTGGGCAACCTGGGCCAGGCTCTCACCATCCTCACAGCAAAGAATTTCCTCCTCATATCTCATCTAAACTGCCCCGCTTCCAGTTTTCATCCATCCCCCTCATCCCATCCCTCCCTGCCCTTAGCCCAAGTCCCTCCCCAGCTTTCCTGGAGCCCCTTCAGGCACTGGAAGCTGCTCTAAGGTCTCCCTGGAGCCTTCTCTTCTCCAGGCTGAACACCCCAACTCTCTCAGGCAGAGAGACTCTCTCCAGAGCAGAGCTGCTCCAGCTCTTGGATCATCTCTGTGGCCTCCTCTGGACTTGCTTCAACAGCTCCGTGTCCTTCTTATGCTGGGGCTCCACAACTGGACCCAGCCCTGCAGGGGGTCTCACCAGAGTGGAGCAAATGGGGACAATCCCCTCCCTCAACCTGCATGGACCTGAACCCACAATTCTGTTGTGCTCCCCAACACAACACACCTTCATTGTTCTTGTCTATTTTTAGTTTGAAGAGAAGGAGAAAGGAGGACAATTTTAGGCCACTCCAAAATTGATTTTTTCCCTTTGATTCCTTTAAACCAGCAAAATTTCCATCCTTTTCAGAGGACAAATGGGGCATCCTGCCCCTTCTGGACAGACATGTCCAGAGTGGGCTGCTGGTTACTGTGAAAGACTTTCCAGCATCATCATAATTTCAGAATTCAACTCATCTTAATCTGTTTAGTTTTCCTATGGTAGATGTGTAGGCACAGCCCAAGGTCATGGCAGGTCATGTTACTGACTTTCATGGATTATGTTGAAAATTTCATAAGTTTTTGAGCAAATAATTCTGCACTGTGTTATCAGCAAGAAATAACTCTGCAGGCACATAGATGCTGGGGCCCTGCTGACATGCTCAAGCTTTTCTTGCTCTTTTCCCATCCCTCCCAGCTTTGCTCCAGTCTGACTCCTCAGTCTCCCTGGCAAATAGCTGATTTTGCCTGGTGTCCTTTCACCCCAGTCCTCTTTTGACCCTCTGAAGGGCTGATGCCTTGGACAAAGGCTGCTGTGCATCCCAGAACCAGTGGAAACTGGGAAAAGGAAAATAAACGTTTTCTCTTCCTTTTCTCTCTTTTCTCTCCAGGTTTCTCTGCAGCTCCCAAGGTGCACACGGTGACAATAGCACGGATTTAAAATGAAAACGAATTTTAAAAGTCCTACCCTTTTGTAGTCCCTGTTACTCTCCTCTTCTGCTCTGCTGCTGAGGGCGGCCAAGCGGTTCTCCCTGCGGCTGTAGGCGCTGGAGCGGCGGTCGCTGTAGGAGTCACTGGTGCTCGGGGCTGTAGCTGCTTCCAACCTAAAAGGCAACGAGGATCTCACACCACGAAGCTGCTGTTCCTCTGGGACAGCCAGGACCAGCCCCTGCCTTGGGACTGATGCTGCCCAGCCCAGCAGAGGTGCTGGGAGCACCCTGCCCCCCAGCGCCGGCACCGCTGCTGCAGGGCAGGCAACCATCACCTAAACTGGGACAAACCCAGTGGGAATCAGCCCAGACCCCAAATGGGCAGTGGTTTCCCATGGATCTTTCATCATGGTGGGAACAGGCTCCATTTCCAACAGGGCACAGAAGGGTTTTTCTCTCTAGAGAGCAGCTGGAAAATCATCTGGGGAGTGAAGGATAAAGGCAAACTGGCCCAACAGCTGAGCCAGGGGGAGAACCCAGGGGCCAGTACCAGCTCCAGCTCGTGCTGCTGGTTTGAATCACAGGGAATCCCCAAAGCCAGGCAGAAAAGTGCTGCCAGGAAACATCTCATAAAAACAAGCAAATAAACAAATAAATAAATTCTTACCTGGAAAGTCTTTCATGCTGGAGGAAAAAAAAAAAAAAGAAAAAAAAAGAAAAAGGGAATTAATAACAAGAAGGATTCAAGGTTCAAGAACTGCAGAGCTACCACGCAGCAGCCATTTCCTACCTCTGCTACCAGCAACCAGCTCACAACCAGCCAAACCACAGGATTTCCCGTGGCCAAACTGGGAACCAGTGATCCCTGCCTGAATCTTTTCAACAGCTTCAGCTTCTCTGAAGCATTTCAGATTTCATTGATTTTGCTAACCCAGAACCTACTGAACCTTGTACTTCAAATCCTGGTTTCCAGAATTGAAATCCATTCCTTTGAACCGAACCTAATCTGCTGTTTCCCTTTCTACAGAAAATTGTTCCTCCTGACTTTGATCACTGTCCAACACATGATGTGGGTGAGAGGGATTAACAGACCATGATACCTTGTGTGGAACGTCAGGAAATCAAAGCGGACTTGGGCAATCTCTCCCCCATGGACAAAAGCTTCACTGTGGCCAGGAGATCCATGCCAGAAGCTGCACCAGGAAGGGAGAGGACCCTTCCACCAGCCCAAAGGCTGGACCTTCTGGTTGAAGCCCATGTCAGGTTCTTCTCTTCTCCACAACATCCCCACCTCGGTGGTGCCGCCCCCAGCGCCGCCTTTGCCTCATGCCTACAAACCCAAGACCACCTGGGCCAAAGAGAAGGCTGAAGAAAAGTTTTGCTTGGCATTGCAATATCCTACAGGAGCTGGGTGTGGTAAACCACCTTTTTCACACACACACACATCTATAAAGTTTTCTGGATCAGACAGTTCTTTCCCACAACTGCAGAAATCAAGTGGCAATGGCAGAGGAGTCCTGCCTCCTGCACCAACCCAGCTCCTCCTTCTCTGTCAGGTTTCTCTTTCTCTTACAAACATTTACCCAGATTTTGGTGCAGCCCAACTCTTTCTCAGTCCCTTGAACTGGAAATCCAGCCCGATATTCCCCAGCAAGTTTTATTAGCAGCATCATTTCTCTGAGCAAGCACAAACCACTTGCAGGCACTGCCAGTTATTTCCCCAGATCCTTTTTAATAAATGCAACAGTCCAGGCAAAAAGGACACTGCAGAGAAGACAAGAGGTCAGGCTTTTAGTGCCCAGACACGCTCGTGTTGGACACGCCACTAAATCTGGAGCTGAACACAGGACTGGCTGCCAGAGCTGCTGCCTGCCTGGCCACCAGTGCTGGAGGATGTCAGAGCTCCTGCTCCTGCCTGGCACCCTGCCGGTGGCTCTGATCCCTGGGCAGGTATCTGGGGCACCCCCATGAGCAGCTGAAGGGGGTCACCCTATGATAGGGAGAAGGAGGGTAGACGTGACCCTCTGGCCTCTCTACTCTGAGCCAGAGGATCCCATGGGCTGTGCCTGGCCTGCCTGGACCCTGCCCTCTGCTCCTCAGGACACAGCAACCCAGCTCCCTCCTGTGTGTTCAATCAAATCAAATGTTCAGCTCATCCTGCCTTTGTGAAACTCTCATCTTGAGTCCTGAGCCCAGCAACCCCCACCCTGGGGCAGCCTCTGCTGTGGGACACGGTGGTTGCAGCAGTACAAAAGACAAACTGAGAATCCAGCACATTTGAAGCCTGGCAGATGGACATGTTCTGCTGAAGGTGCTAAACACAAAGCTCCAACCCTGATTCTGATCATCCCACTCTCCCTGGAGCTGCACCCACAGAGCCACCCTCAGGTGGCCTCACCCTCAGGTCCCATTGCCAGCCCTGCACTGCAGAGATGGGCACCAAACCTCCAGGAGCCCATCCCAGTGCTGCCACAGGTCCTGAGCCCCAACAATGGGTCCAGCTCCATATTATTTTATTTGCCCTACCCCTCTCTCCACATGCCAAAAGCTGCCTTTGCATCCTACAGGTGAGAAGCCACCCAAGGGGACAGCAGATGGCTTTCCACCTGGCTAAGTCCCACTGCATTCTCATGAACAATGCTGGGCACTGTCTGAGAAGCTTCTCCTGGGGCTGAATATGTGGCATTACCTGCCACTGTTGCCAGGACATTGTCTGCTTGTCCCCACAGCCATGGCTTGGGCCACTCTGCCACCAGCTCAACATCAGTACCTTCAGCAGTGGTTTCTGTTCAGCTAGTCTGGCTGGGGTCACAGAATCACAGAATTATTGAGGCTGGAAAAGACCTCTGAGATCAAGTCCAGCCTATGACCTGACACCACCACATCAGCTAGACAATGGCACCAAGTGCCACATCCAGCCTTTCCTTGAACACCTTCAGGGATGGAGATCCCACCTGGTAAGTCCATTCCAATGTCTGATCACCCTCTCCAAGAGGAAGTGCTTCCTAATATCCAACCTAAACCTCCCCTGGAGCAGCTTTGGGCCAGGTCCTCTCCTCCTGTCACTCATTGCCTGGGAGAAGAGCCCAGACCCCACCTGAGCACAACCTCCCTTCAGGGAGTTGTAGAAAGTGAGAAGGTCCCTCCCTGAATCTCCTCTTCTCCAAGCTAAACAACTGATGTCTCCATGGTTTTTTTGCTAGCAGAGCTTCAGACACTTGACCTGAGAGCTGCCTTTGAATTTGGGCCCAAAGACACAACTTCCCCTGTTGAGCAGGAGTGGGGAATTAGGAAGCAATTAACAAGGCTCTTGGTGAAAGTTACCGGTGCACTTTGTGTTAATCCCCTTCAGGGACAACTTCTGATGACAAAGGGACAGGGAAGTGACCCACTTGATTTCAAGCTTGCATTTATTTCAACGCCCACACCTGCTGATGGATTTGAACAGTGGCAGGAAAGTCCACAGGTGGCTGGGCAAGGCAATGTAGAAACCAAGCAATAAAATCTGAGCAGGTCTCCAAGCCAACCTGTATGGGAGGAGGGAAAAATCATTCCTGTCTTTTATTTTTTAGTCCAAAGAAACCAAGAATTTCCACAGGCAGGGAGAGCAGGGATTTGCCTGCATGGGAAGGGGGGTAAGAAAGGAGTAACTTTAAACAGCTGCTGGGAAGAGCACAGGGGGAAAAAACCCCACCAGGTTGATTGTATTTAAAATCTTCCTGTGATGGGTACTGAGATGAATTCTTTCAGGCTGCAATTGTCTCTGTGTGTCTGAAGAGGACAAGAGATAAATGCTGAGAGGGGAGGAGCCATGAGCTTCATTCCT